CCCTTGCTGGAGCTGGTTTCAGCATCTGTTAGGATCACAGGGTTCTACTAGAAGCAGGGTGACTTGTTATGAGGGTTTCTGTCCCTGGTGTGGCACCTTGTAGAATCAACACTGGACTTTGAACCACACGGTTGGCAGTTCAAACTCACCTCTTTGGAATTGCTCCTTGCTACAAGGTCACTATGAGTTGGAACTGACTCAGTGTCACTTAACGACAACAACAACAGTGCTATTGAGGGTTCTGTCAGTCTGGAGCCAAGCCTGCCTGATTTCAGGCATCAAAGCTGTGTAGCAGACACCTCACTACACTGGTGTGGCTCCAACCACATGGTTCAGAAGTCCTGGAGAGCGGGCTCTGTGCTAGTGGGAGATGAAAGTGGGAGCTGGCCATACCTTTGGTTACCTGAGGAACATGGGGAAAAAAATCTGATCTTTCCTGTAGTCTGTATATATCTGCTCTGCTCTGCCACCTTTGGTTCCTAATGGTGTTCACAGAAGTTCAAGATGGTTGCCTCATTTGACTGGCCATTCATCAGTCAGTCTCCCTCTCTCACCATCCCTGCTTGGCTTCTCCCAGCAGGCACTCAATCCACTTCTTTAACCTTCCCTCTGAAGGTCAGGATACTAGGATTTGCATCTGTGTCTGTTTTATTTGGTCTCCCGTATATTTGTTGTAGAGGGTCTATGTAGTGCATCTGCCTACTCCTCTATCTTGCTGGAAGTCCTGTTCTCTAGATTTTGTTTATTTGCAAAAGCTTTAGTTTTAAATTGACTTTATTATCTCTGGTAACTGTTGATTCACATTCAATTGTTAGAAATGATACAGGGAAGCTCCCATGTAGACCTCACTAAGACCCTCAATAGTAACAACTTTTGTAATGATTGTATAAGCGCGCCATCAGGAAATTGACATTGATACAATGTATTGACCTTACTTAGATTTCACCAGTTTTGCATTCACTCATATGTATGTACAAATTTCTATAGAGATTTATCATATATATAGATTTGTGTGAACATACAAGGGTGAGTAAAATTATTTGCACTCTGGATACATTAAAATGCCCATCACAACATTGAGCGTGCACACGATATGATTCTATTGAATCGATGAACGATACTGGATTATGTGGCAAATCATTTGCAAATCAGCTGTGGAATAATCAACAACAGACTTTGATTTCAAAAGTTTGTGCAAGGTGGGTACTGAAACAGCAGAAGGAAGAGCATAAACAGAAGTGTTTGGGACATCTGCAAACAAAATTAAAACTGATGCTTGATGGGAGGTAAAAGTTTTTTTTTAAAATGCTACTAGTAAAGAGACATGGATTCATCACTACTGGTATGATAGTAAACTGCAGATTATGGAATGGAAACATCCTTGGTCACCAACCAAGAAAAGTTTACAAGTCAACCATCAGCTGGAAAATTGATGCTTACAGTTACAGTTTTCTGGGATTCTCAAGGGCCAGTATTGGAACACTATCAGGAGAAAGGTTCAACAGTGAGATGCTCACTGAAGAGCTGAAGCCTCAACTTCAGATTAAACACAGAGGACTGCCATCCAAGGGCATTGTGGTCTTGCATGATCACACCTCTTCCCACACTTTATTGTTGTTGTTATTAAGTGTTATCAAGTCAGTTCCAACCCATAATGATCCTATAGGGTTTCCAAGGAGAGGCTGGTGAGCTTGAACCATCAACTTTGTGGTTCACACTGACCTTGCAGTCCAGCCCATTCACCCACAGCATCACACCTGCAAAACCTTCATTTTGAGGTGTTAAAGAATCCTCCCTAGAGTCCTGATCTTTCTCCATCGGACTTTCACCTGTGTGGTCCCCTGAAAGCAGCCTTTCGAGGACGAAGATTCACCTCTAATGAAGTGCAGACAGCGGTGCCCTCATGGCTTACACTCAGTCTAAAGCCTTTCTAAATAAGGGAATACAAAAGCTATGGAAAGATGGACAAAAGTGTATTGAAAAGCAAGGAGATTATGTCCAAAATGATGTTATCTGTCTTTTCTAAAAATTGATTAAAATAAATTCTACAGAGTGCGAACAATTTTTCACTCTCACGCGTCATATGTGTATATGTGTTTCTCTCAGTGTGTAATTGTTATTATTAAGTGCCTTTAAGTTAGTTCTGAGAATTCTGAGAAGTGGCTGGTGAACTTGAACTGCTGACCTTGAGGTTCAAACTGACCGTACAGTCCAGTGCATTAACCCTCAGCGCCATACCAGGACTCTGTGTATGTGTGTGGAGAGAGAGTTCATTATCAAGGAAATGACTTACAATTGCAGAGTCTTTGGTCCCCAGTGGAAGAGAGCCTCTGCTGTGTTTCTATTATATTGGGAGCAGGCCACACTCTCAAGGAATCATCCTTTCAATTGATTGACTGCTAATAACCAATCATCATCGAGTTCACTATGCTTGTATTGTGCTTCATCACTATAGGAATAAGCACATTCCAACTGCGGAACCTCTGGAAATCCTGACCTAGTCAAGCTGACACAGAACCCTAACCATTACAAAGAGTATGATAACTAACCCACTATAATTGAGTAGATTCTCACTTATAGCGATCCTATATAGAGTTGATGAGAAACTCATCTTTGTCCTGAACATCAGCTGGTGGGTTTGAACTGGCAACCTTGTAGCTAGGAGTCCAATGTTTATCTCACAGCACTACTAGGACTCCTTCTTAACAGTGAAAACTAGTATCGCTAAAACACATTTCAACTATTCTGAATTACAAAATTTAAGGGAAATTACTTCAGGTTCATAATGATAATTCTAAATAATAGCAACGGAGTTAATTCTTGCTACATACTTTGCATTTAACTCTTACAACCCAACATCCCTGAGTTGTAGGAACTATTATCTGTATTTATAGATGAAGACACTGAAAGGTTAAATAGCTTTTCTATGATCACATAGCTAATGACATGTAGGTAGCCTGGTTCCAGAGCTTGCTCTCTAATTCACTACACTAGTCGTGAGTTTAAATTGATTGTACGTTAGAATAACTTGGGGAATTAAAATTCTGAATTGCTAAACTACTCTCCTCTTCTAGACAAGGTGCTTTACTTGGTACGGGATAGGCCTGGGCACCAATATTTTGCAATTGTTGTTGGATAAGCACTGGGCTTCTAACTTCAAGGTTGACGGTTCAAACCCATTTGGCTCCACGGGAGAAAGATGAGGCTTTCTGCTCCCCTAAAGATTTACAGCTTTGGAAACCCTATGTTGTTGGTAAGTGTCATCAAGTCGGGACTGACTCCATGGTACTTACCAACATCAGCAACATTGCTTTATGAGGTCCAGTAAATAAAGCTCTAGATTTAAAAATAAAGTTTACCAAAATATAGTACTCTAGTTTTAAAGTTAATGATTTAAATTAATTTTCTTTAAAGGCTGTAGGGTAAGCACTCGACCGCACGGTCGTTTTGAACCACAAGGTCAGCGGTTCAAACTCAATAGCTGCTCCTTGGAAACCCTATACAGGGTTGCTGTGGATCGGAACAGACTCAGTGACATTTAACAACAACAACAACGGATTTCCAACAGTCACTATCAAGTTTGCTCTGAAGTCAGCTACTGACAATTGCATCAAGTCCCCGCCAGAGGGTGCTAAAGACACTTCACTATGAAAGGTTTGTTTAGGCCCGCTTGGACTTGTCAGCCCCTGTAAACTTTTTTTTTTTTTTTTTTAAAGAATTGAATTTAGTTTATAAGGTCGCTATGAGTCTGTACCAACTCGATGGCACCTAACAACAACAACAACAAATTCTTTTTGTTGTGAAATAAATTCTGTACCATGGCAATTTAATATTTTCTACAGATACTGTAAATGATGAGTATTTAATATTTCCCATTCTTAGTTCTTATAAAGCATGCTGGAAATAGTTTTAATCTGATGATGCAGTCAAGTTAGCCATCAGAAATGAAAGGTTTTGTCTTCCTTTATGGACTCATGGTGTGGCACTGTAGGATCAGCGGTGAACTTCAAACCTCAAGGTCAGCAGTTCAAACATACCAGCTTCTCCTCAGAAACCCTACACAAGATGTCTGTGAGTGGGAACCAACTCCAAGGCACTTAACACCAACACCATCTTCCTTTACACAATAAGTGTATTTCTGAAACTCAAATCATTTAAAATGAACAAAAAGGAAACGAGTCATTTGTTTTATGAGCTAAATAAAATGATCTCAATTTAGCTGTGCAGGCTTTTATTTTTAAATAACAAGTAAGTAGCTTTAATGTTTGTAATTTTATCATTAAGTATATTCTCAAAGTATTATCAGTTAGTTGTGATAACCATTTAATTTGTGTGGTCGTTTTGAACCAGGTGTAACATAAAGTTTGGTTCCTTTATATTTTGATGAATTAGTTACCTAAAGTATTGAAGGCTAAATAGCTTGTTTCTTTTCTTTTTTCCCCAGGTATCTTCATTCAAATAACATAGTTGTGATTCCAGAAGGTTAGTGACCTTTAATTTTTAGTTAGGAGACAGTAAAATTTTACTTTTGCTAAACAAGTAGAAAAAAAGTGTCACTTTCAAGCAATTTTACTTTTTGTAGAAGGGAATTTTAATTATCAAACATTTTTACATTAGCATCAAACTGTTTTTTTTCTTAGTCCAGTGAAAGATAGTTTAAATAGATAAGTAAAACAGTTATAATGATTATGTAAATTATTACTATTATAGTACTTGTTGTTGTTGTTGTTGTTAAGTGCCGTCGAGTCGGTTCCGACTCCTAGCGACCCTACACAGGGTTTCCGAAGCTGTAAATCTTTACGGGAGCCTCATCTTTCTCCCGCGGAACCGCTGGTAGTTTCGAACTGCTGACCTTGCGGCTCGCAGCTGGATTCGTAACCACTATGCTATCAGAGCTCCTTATTATAGTGCTAGGTAAACAATAAAATGGAACATTCTAAATTTATAAATTCAGTTTAAATTTTAGTAAGATCAAAATTATCAAAATGATCATGAATTAGGAACTCAAGTAATTTTAATATTTAATATTTTAATTTATACTCTTAAGATTTATTGTATTTTATCTAGAGTTAGAAGTATTGTCAATTCAGTAAAATTTACTTTAATCTGTGTTTTTATCTTATAAGCAATGGAGACAAGGATATTAAATATTAAAATATTTTAACTCAATACTTACATTAAGTATTTGGCATAACACTTGGGTCCAATTCATTTAGGTTTTGCTGTCTTGTTTTTTTGTCTCTTTGAAGCCATTGGGTCCCTTATAAAACTCCAGTGTCTGGATCTTAGTGACAATGCCTTAGAAATTGTTTGCCCAGAAATCGGTCGCCTGAGAGCTTTACGTCATCTTCGATTAGCTAATAACCAACTACAGTTCCTACCTCCAGGTAATCATAATCTATAGCACACACTGGTCTCTTGTCTACTACAAATCTATTTTAAATTCGTATTTCTCACTAGGTGCCCAGGCTTAAGTGCTTGATTGTCCATTTGTTTGAAAATGAAATATGGGTAAAATAAGGGCCAACAAGTTTTTTTTTTTCTACTGCAAACATAAGAAAGTGGCATTTATGTTTGAAGCTACAGTTGCTACTACTGTACATTAGAATCGGTGCCCCCTTAGAATTACTGCCCCAGCAAAATAGCTGGACAAAAGCCAGTTTTGAGTCTAACATTTGCAGAGTACAATAATTAGAATATCCAAAAGACAGGCACTTAGTGTTTTCTCTAATATTCCAGTGGGGTCACTGGTATACATTAACTTTGTTTAAATAAAAAGTCATTTTAGAATTTGGAAATAGAATTTCAAATTGAGTCCTAGAGTTTCTTGTCGGTACTGTCTACATTAATTAGATTATGATGTGTTCTCATATACCAACAGTACTGGAAGTCCCTAGGTGGTTCAGTGTTAGCACGATCAGCTACTAACCGAAACGTTGGATGTTCCAGTCCCCTAAGAGACACCTCAGAAGAAAGGCCCTGGCAATCTACTTCTAAAAAAATGAGCCACTGAAAACCTTGTGGAGCATAGCTGTACTCTGCCTTACATGAGCTGTTCTTTGTTTTTATATTTTTATAGACAGCACTTTTAAATCCTGCATTCTCTTGAACCACTTCTTAAACTTTTTGGCTTCCAAACCTTTTGACTTTAGTGTGTGTGTGTGTGTGTGTATGTGTGTGTGTAGGAGGAGGCATCCAGAGTCCTTACTTTGTTAATGCACACATTTTTAAATTCGCATAGTAAGTCTCATTTTCACATAAAAATGGTGATACGTTATTTTTAAAAAGCGAGCTTTAGCTATTACATGAAAGTTACTTTGTATTGAAGGATGAATAGAGAACAATGCAGCTATAGGACAGTTGACTGAGATTTCTACTTAGTAATTCTTTGTGAAAATCAAGTTGTCTTTTAGTATGTCCAATAGAGGTTCGTGACTCAAGATTGCATATCGTGACCTGTTATGAATTGCTTCTTGTTGTTGATACGTACCATCGAACTGGTTCCGACTCATAGCGATCCTGTATAGGGTTTCCAATTGTAGTTAAATTAGAACTGACCCTGTAGTCCAAACCAGCCTTGCGATCCAGTGCATTACCCACAGTGCCACAGTCAGATGAAAATACTAAAACCTATTCCAGTGAAACTCATGAATGAAAAAGAATCTGGTATATTTCTCTGTGATTAAAAACATATTTTTTCTAACAGTATGTTACCTTTAGCAATGATAGTTGATATAAAATTTTCAAGGTGATGTAGGAATATGAGTTTACCTTTAGAGTCTATTGTACGTAATATGGCTCAACCAATGTTTTATCATTCTAGTTTTCATCAAATTTATATATTCAGATACTCGAGAAATTAGATAATCTTTTTTAGATTGCCTTGAAAGTGTACCAGTAAAGATAATTCTTTAAGTTTTTATAACACTTTCATATATGAAACTTCTGTTAGCTCTTGATATAGTTTTAAAGAATATATACGAAATTCAATTCTCTGTGAAGCCATTTTTTCTAAAATTCTGTTATTCTGTCTTTTCCTGTAATATAAAACACTTTGTGGTTTGAGAATATGGTCATTTCCTTCCATTATAGTCTCAGAGATTAAGGATAGAGCTATAATGCCACTGCCTGCCTCCTAATAACTGTGAAAGGTTATATATTTCCTGACTACTTTTATATTATTTATATTGTGGGTCATATCTCACCTTGTTGCACAAGAGATTTGAGGTATTTTCTTCTGATTTCATTTTTTACCCTGCTTTCTCTTTATATATATAAATTTTATTGTGAATTCAGTAAAGGTTTGCAGAGCAAATTATCAGTTACCCATTGGACGGTTTGTATATATTTTGTTTCATCTTATTGATTGCAGTCCCCTCATTGTAACATCACTTATCCATCTGACTTCCTTCCTGTGTTTCTGCTTTCCAGTTTGTGTTTCTTGGTTTAATTCCTCTTTCTTTCATAGCCATTTGTCATTGGGTAAATGCTACCCTTTTGATCTCAAATATTGGTTTTATTTGTTTTGAGTTAAATTATATATAGTATTAGCTAGTCACTTTTAGGAAACCTTATGCAAGGTCCCTGTGAGTCAGAACAACTTGATAGCACCAATGCCATGGACTCCTGGTGTAGCACTCTATGATCAGCACTGGACTGTGAACCACGAGGTTGGTGCTTCTTAGAAACCCTACCACAGCATCACTGTGACTCAGAACTGGCTTGACAGCACTTAACAGTAACAACAACAGTGTATTTTGAATGAAAACTTTTTGATAGGTTTATGTTCTCTCTTGGCTACCTTGATTAGGAGCGGACCATTGCTAAGTGTGCTGAGTCAGTTCCGACTCATAGTGACCCTGTATAGGGTTTCTAAGGAGCAGCTGGGGACTTTGAACTGCTGACCTTGCGGTTCAAGCCAACCTGTGGTTCAGTGATTTCCTACAGTGCCACAGCAGTGGACTAGGCCTGACAAATTATTGCATGAACTTTATGTGTCTCTTTCTGTGGTGATTGAATGGGTAAGAAGTTAGGTACATTTTCTCTCCTCCCTATGTCAACTGTTTGACCATGTTTGAGAATACATTGTGGGAAACTGTTCTCATTGTAGTAAGAAAAAAATTTTAAGGGCCTACCTTGCTGTCCCATTTGATGACAGTAGACACCTATTGCTATGTGATTTATAGCCCCTTCTACAAAGTTCATTCTGTTATGCACAGATTTTTTCTATGCCGCAGACCATGTCCTTCACTCCAGAGACTTGTCTCCTGCTTCTTTCAGTCAGTCTCCTTGCCCTAGGCCAGGAGTGGGGAACCTTTTTTCTGCCAAGAGTCATTTGGATGTTTATAACAGTACCTAATATAAATTTATATTGCTATGGAAAAAGCTCTTAGAGTTACTTACTGAATTTTGACCCCTGCCTACGGTTGCCTTGGCAGGACCAGACCAAATGTTTCCAAGAGATTCTATGGCCTGTGGGCTGGATGTTCCAACCCACCCTTTCTCTAAGGAAACACTTTTTATTTTTATCACCATAGATGAATTTGACCTGTTGTTGAGCTTAATGTAAAAAGAACCATATAGGAGTTCTGGTGTAGCACTGTGTGATATATAGGACATATATTTGTTGTTGTTGTTATGTGCCGTGGAGTCGGTTCCAACTCATAGTGACCCTGTACAGGGTTTCTGAGGCTGTAAATCTTTACAGGAGCAGAAAGCCTCATCTTT